CTTGGGCAAGATATTTTCCAGCGAGCTGTCGGACGCGTTATAAAGCCGATATGTCTGATTACTGAAAGTCTGACGCCACTTTTAAGTGGAGTCACACCACAAGAGCAGGCCGTTTTTGAAGGTCAAGGATATGTTGTCAAAAGCACCTGTCTTGCATTCTATGATGTAAACAAGCCAACTGTGGTCATGCAGATGCAGCAGTTATGGTTGCGTGCGAGTACTAATGCAACAACAGGGAGATAGACTCTTACCTGTGGCATACTGTTCTCGCACATTGACAAATTGCCCTGAGGCCCCTAGATTATGCTCAGATGAGAAAGAGCTGCCTGAGAGCTTGTGTGGGCATTGCGAAATAGTTCACACAGTATCTGGTATGCGACTGAGCCGAGTTTAAACTTGGTGACAGAGCATAAGCCATTGCGTTCACTGATCAATAAACAGGACATAGCGACAAAACGCCGCTGAGGCTGCAGTAGGCTTTGCTGATGCGTCTCATGCGTTTTGCTCGAGAGCCAGAATATGCACCTGCCGTAAGGAGCTTGTGGTTATGCAGACACACTCTGTCAAGAGCCACCACTAGTAAGCATAGAGGTGCCAGACTACAGTTCTGGAGGCTTCAGCAGTTTGTGGACAGCGCTGACGAACAGATGCGCACACATAGCCAGTCAGAAACTCGAACGTTTATAACAGAGCGACAGCTACGCGATGCAACGCTACACGAGGGCGATTTGGACTCACAAAAGGTTGCGGGTGGCCGAAGAGGATTCAGTCGCGTGCCAGAGGGATGCTAAAGACATTCTACTCGGCTTTAGGACGTGAACTATCCGTGTCAAAGGGATCTCGCTCCTTGTATCGAAATCGTATTGATAATCCCTACGAGGTGGCAGAAGAGATATACTGAAGCAAGATCCATGAGCGTCACCAGGGTTCACTAAGTGTAGGGAACGGTGCCAAAATGATCTGTGTGGTGGCCCAGGAATAGGGCAGACATAGCCACAAGACGGTTTCTACTTGCCCAGTTTTGCCCAGATCTGAACCGGCCTACACAACAGAAGCGAACCATCTAATCCACTTACTCCATTGCCAGCTAGACCCTCGGCAAAAGGATGGGTGGACTTGTGCTGAGTTGGAAGGAAAGAGATATTTGGTCGTGATCGGACTATTTACTCTAGCGTATCTCAGTGAAGTGATTACTTACCAGAAATTCACGCTCGAAACAAGTCATTCGTTAAGCTCAAGAGCTTATTCGCAAGATGGTGCATCCACAGAGGAAGTCGTCTCTGATAACGCGGGCCTCAGTTCAACATCGGCCTGAGTTCAACGCTGCTTCCAGAGTGATACGATCTTCATTCACACAACATCTAGCCCACATCTTCCACAGGCTAATGGTTGAGCTCTGAGCGCGGGAGTGCAAAAAGCCGCAAAGCGATCCTTTCCGCAAGAGGCATGTGTTTGCTGCCATTATGAGCTTATAGAGCTACACCGATTTGCAGCCACAGGTGTAAGTCCTGCACAAGCTGATGATGGGACGGCAGATATACGTACCAAATGCCAACTCTGTAACTGAAAATTTAGATCCTAAATGGCCCGGGATCTTAAGAGTGGTCAAGATGACAGATGACCGAGCTAAGACTTAGACTACCGTTCCGGTTCTTACACAGACGTCCATCCTCCGGTGAAATCTCTTCCCAGAGCTTGCGACTGGTGACATTGGTACTGGCGGTAAAATTGGACATGAGAAGGCCCGATGTGAAAACACCGGAGTGTTGTGAGTCAAGCGACTTACCCCACGTCCTACATCGGCTGACTACGATGCGGTTCGGCCAACAATGCGCGAAATCGCGAAGACATTTGAAGCGTCAGCCCTTGGTGAGGATGCTTGGCAGTTCTCTGTCGAATCCAGGATACACCAATGGCTTAGGCAGACAGTGCCATCTTCTTGGTGAAACGAACTGGAGACTCCAGCAAGATAATGCCAACGGATGGATGTGGAATCACATTCACCCGGCCGTCCACGGACAAGCCGGTCGCGGGTAGTGGCGCAAGCCGTTTGGCGTTTTCCGGATGATTATGGATAAATGATTATTGTAGCCGAGTAGTGCTTGGTAAGTTAACTTGGTCATGTGCTTTGTGGAATTTATGAGTTAATACGCCTTAGTGAAGTATGGTGACCAGGGAGAGAGAAAACGGTTGTATTATTTTATGATGTATTTATTCAATTCTCAGATCATGTTTAAGAAAATGTTCTTACATTCAGTTGGGTAACAGACAATCTTCAAAGGAGGGAGATGTCACGATTACTATTTCGGTTACTATTTATGAGTAATATAGTGTTAGAGCACAACGGGAAGGTTCTTAGAATCCAAACTGAAACCGACTTGTTATTCATTACATCGGGTTCGTGTGAACTGGTTTGTGTTAATCGTGTGGCTTGTTAAATAAATGTGTTTCTGCTTCATTAAAGATATTATCAGTTCGCATGAGTATCCTGAAAACGCGACAATCAGCAATTCAGCAACACCACTAGGAGTGGAATAATACTCAATAGCTGGTGATATATGCAAAGATGTTTTGCCCTGCCAACTACAACTTACAAGCTTCAGAAGGTTCAATAAAAACCTACAGAATTTTAATGCCTTAATGGCAGTACACAACTACAGATGATTCAGGATACTTATTTGACTTATCCTACTGTATTATTATGTATGTAATATAATTATTTTATTATAATTTATATTAATATAATAAAATAATTATTATTACTGAATACTGTATATTTATCCCACCCCACTCAGTATTATTTAGGGTAAGCTTNTCATGGATTTTGTGGCTCATAAACACCTTCAACCTTGTAGTTGTACCTGTGTAGCCATTCGCTCCCGTTACAGCATACAGGAAGTATACGACCCAGCACAGGCACAGTGCTGGAATACAGCCCTAGAAATTTAATAATCTGATGTTGCTAATGGGGGGGGGGGGGCAGTAATGCTATTGACTATTCTAGGAAATGTCTAATCTTTTGATTCTTTGTTGAATCTCTCCCGTAACTCGGTGCATTATGATGACATGATATTGTTATTATGTTGGATATTATCAGGAGTGTACAATAGGAGTGAGAGCAGACTAAAACCGTGCAAAATTCAACATTAGGTAGCCCTTAGTCTACCTATGATTTATTGTGTTTTCCGCCTCGATCTAAACTGAGCTCAATGTCTTGCTTAAGTCAATTAAAACTTATCCGTGTCTAATGCGGTTGGGTCCTCCCAAAAATTGACAATCGGGAGATTATCGTCCAAACGTACAAATGTGGTTTTTGAAAGTTTATAATCGCAACATCAACAACCTGTGAACCGCGAAACAAAGCAGATGCTTTTGAAAGCCCTCTATCGCTTAGCAATGCGCAAACATAGCAAACAACTAGCGAGGTTTGCTAGGGATTTCGGCAAGTTAAACAACGACTTGGTGTTATTGATACAGTCCTCGCCAAAGCGTTTCGGACGGCGTCGGAGACAAAACCGGTGATTTTTGCACCGGTCCGACAAGAAAGTTGGCTATTTACCAGACCGGGTCAGGGTAAACATTACAATCAACTAATTACCCAGAGGCTACAGGTACGCGAGTACCAACTACGTGTATGCCTAACTCTAATATCCCTGGCCTATGGCTATCTTATATGACGCGTGTAACGCAAATTAATCTATGGTGTGGGAAAAGCGATAGGAAGAGATTAGCCTGTTAATGATAGAAAGAGTTGACGAAAAGATGACATGGCGACGTGTGTGTGAACTATGATGGGATAGTTATATTACTATCAGCTGATTATACCTGGATCAACCACAATGGACAAGGCCAAAGGGCCTAGAAATAGGTGAAACGCTACGATCAATGACAAAGCTGGCAGCAATGCATTGCTGATTGTACGCCGTCACGAAAATGGAGTGAAAAAATAAACGATGCTAGCTTTTTAGGCTTAATCAATGACGGGTCCAACAGACATAGCGGTGATGAGCAGGAAAGCATATATATGTTAGATATGTCCACAAGGAAAAGCAACAGAGATGTGAATGTTTTTTAATCGTTTCAATATTTTGGTCCAGTAAGCATATGCATTCGGTCTGGTAAAAATTCTATTTTTTACTGGACCGAAATGTCCAAGTAAAGGAATTTTGTCTTTTGGCGAGGACTGTTGATACTATTTACATTAAAATAAAAAACTTTCACATGTTTTACGTATTTTTATGCCATTTATTTTTTCTTGAACAATAAATTGTTCATAACATGTAATTACTGTCATCGCATGGCCTATAATCAACAACAATGCGTGTTTTAACTTTCTGAAATCCCTGCAAACCTCGCTTAGTTGTTTTGCTATGTTTGCATTGCAAGACGATAGAAGGCTTCAAAGCATTGGCCTTATGTTTCGGTTCACGTTGTTGATGGTGCGATAGTCACAGCTTCAAAAACCACATTGTACGTTGGACCGTATCTCGCCGATGTTGTCATTTTTGTGAGACCAACATTAGACACGGATAAAGTTTAATGATTAAGGCAAGACTTGAGCTCAAGTTTATGGCGAGGTAAAACACAATAAATCATAGGTAGACTAAGGCTACTAAATGTTGATTTTGCCGTTTTTTAGTCTGTCTGCACTCCCTATTGATACACTGCCTGATATTATTAATATAGTAATTAGTCCTAGTAACTTTGCCATGGACTATTTCACAACATCAAGCATAGGGTCAGAAGTTTTCATGTCTCTATTCCCATGTAATGTATCTTTTCAAAAGCTGTGCTAAGTCGAAAACACTGAATTTATTAAGTTAAGCTAAATTTTAGTCAGCATTCAAAAAATAAAAATTGTCCTTGAAATGTCCTGGAAAACTCCTTGAATTTTGTCATGACTTATCTGTATGGACCATGAAGCAGGTCGGCCAGTTACTACGGCTTTTGCTATAATGAAATGTCTTGTTAAAATTTAATTTTGTTACATAATTCAGTTCATTTCATTTTTTTCCAGTCCATGATGATTGTTCTTACGTTGACTGCCACTGTACCTCTATGACACACCGAGATATGAGAAATAACAATAATAAGCTGTTTTGAATAGTCTAATTTCCAGGTAAGCAGTAGTCGAAGCAAAAGAATCATGGTAGTATTTAGCAAAGCTGGTTGTACTGAAAGTATGTCAGATGTCTCAACTGCTGTTATTTAAATATGGAGGTAGGTAGCACACCTGAAACAGAAACTTCCGAGATCCTTTTAATATAGATAATAACCCAGGGCTAGAAACGACCCTTTTTTCGCCAGGCACCAAGTACTTGCACAGAAAAAAACTGGGAGAGAACTTTGCTAAACCCCGGCAAAAACTTGAGAAAACTACAGCAGTTCCACTCAACCCCCCATAAACAAACAAAAAAGCCGCAAAAAAAACTGCCCTATTGCCTCTGTCTGTAAGGAAGCTGAAATTGGCCTCCTAGCCCTGTTACCATTGCTTCATTCATTCTAAAATATTGTCACCCATTCTTTACTAAGGTTGCACATAGAATGAAGTACTGACTGTAACGTGGAATCAAAACTTAAAAAAACAACCATAAACAACTGGCTATACTTAGATTTTTAGGAATTCTTGGCTGCATGTATTTGTTGCTGACATTAGGAACAGGCAGCAAACTGACCCTTGTAGGCAGCAAACTGACCCTTGTAGGCAGCAAACTGACCCTTGTAGGCAGCAAACTGACCCTTGTAGGCAGCAAACTGACACTTGTAGGCAGCAAACTGACCCTTGTAGGCAGCAAACTGACCCTTGCAGGCAGCAAACTGACCCTTGTAGGCAGCAAACTGACCCTTGTAGGTAGCAAAGTAACCCTTGTAGGCAGCAAAGTAACCCTTGTAGGTAGCAAACTGACCCTTGTAGGCAGCAAACTGACCCTTGCAGGCAGCAAACTGACCCTTGTAGGCAGCAAACTGACCCTTGTAGGCAGCAAACTGACCCTTGTAGGCAGCAAACTGACCCTTGTAGGCAGCAAACTGACCCTTGTAGGCAGCAAAACTGCTGCTTGCTGCCCTTAATTTTTGAATCCCGGCTTTATCTCTGCCATATGATATCTCTTAGACTAATGTGATCCACTTATCCCTAAAAATAAGATAATTACAAATGGATAAAGTAAGCCACTGTCATTGCTGTACGTATAATTACAATCTCTTTTCGGGTACACACAATTTAGAAAAACGACTAAAAAATGCTGGAAACTGAAGCATCTGAGACGGCAGGGTCTCAGCACGTAAAGAAAAAGCAACACCGTGATATTACCAAGATTGTGCTGAAGCGCAAGGAACATCTTTCACTGCTCTGCGAGTGGGAGCAATGCAGCAATATGTTTTCTGAAATGATGGAGTTTATCAAGCATGTCGGAGGTCACCTGGCCGGGCGAAAATTGCCAACCGTGCCCGAAGGAGGTGAGAACAACGTTTTCATTCATCTTGTGATTAATATTAAAATCCTTAAAAAAGTTTCATGCTAGGAATTGTTACTAGTTAAACCGTGTTATATAGCACTAGCAAGCTTGTGTCTAAGATGTTCAAGATTAGATGGTGTGCTTACTAAACACGCATGCACACGAACACGCACATGCACACGTATCGTAATGGATTATCGAATGTTTTGAAATTTCTAGGTTATCTCTGTCAGTGGCGAGAATGCGAGAATTCGGTTTCTACCTACGAGGAGTACGAGCGCCATGTCTACTTCCACACATTCCATTGCAAGATCAAATGTCTCGGAGAAAACCTCGTTCAGCGATACAGAATGAACAGATGCCCGGTTTACAATGGCCGTAACATGATACCTGAACTTCCCGACAGTCTGCAGTGCGGTTGGATAGAATGTGAGGTATGGTGATATTATTATAAGTCAATGTCTTTAAATATTTTTGTACTCAATCATCAAGGTTACCTAGGTTATGGGCTTTTATATTTATTAGTTTTAATGAGTATGCAACGATTAAGTGGTAGAACAAGTAATGCAAAAGTAATTTTTTGGCAATTACAGAAGTCGCTGATTGAAGAGATAAGCGAGTGATTTACATGATTTAGTTGTTAATATGGAGCGTGGGTTTTTAATTAATGTAAAAATACCATTACATAATTATATGCTATAAAATGAGAAATCACGCAAAATATTGAACTGTTATTGAATTGAATCTTGTTGCAGCATAGTACCCTGCAAAACAGACAGAACAGTACTAATATAACTACTATTAGAATTGTCTTCAGCATAGTATTAAGACTACGATAAGGCTGACCACTGAATTATCTGTTAAAAAAAACAAATTTCTGCATTTCATCATTCTAAATTACTCTAGTACCCTATTGTACATTTAACATCTGTGTATTATCATTTCAGGGTGTTTATGAAAACCCAGAGATTTTTTATCGGCATGTGAATAACCATGTAGAGGTTTATCCACAAGGCAATAATCCAAAAGTCCCAGTCACGTGTCATTGGGAAGGTAACCATCAAACTATTTAGATTTAATCATTGTAACTGGCATTTAAATGTATGTGTATCGGCCTAAAATATGTTCGACTAGCAGAGATTTCTGTCGTACTATTTTATACAATTTTCTTGCTGATCCTCAGAATGTTTCTTGTATTACTGCTTGTATTTCTATTATTGTGTTTCTATAGGATGTGCTTGTGTAGTAAAGAGCAAGCATAGGCTTAGAGACCATTTACGTAGTCACACACAGGAGAAGCTGACGGCTTGTCCATCATGTGGCGCCCTCTTTTCCAGCCCTACTAGATTTATCGACCACTTGAAACGACAAGCAAGGGAACTGTGTACGTGACTTCTGTCGTCAAAGCTTAGCAATTAAACATTTTAGTAGTCAAATCTAAGTGCTTATATTTAAGACTATGGTGAGATAAGCAGTTAGGCCATCCTTAAAAAATTCTATGTTTGCTGTCCTCCGACCGACCCACGAAAATAGCCACGACCCAAAAGTTTTTTTTGACATTTTGGGTTCCATTTTTTTTTTCATTTTTCATAGTTAAGACTGAAACACAAAGCATGTGTGGCAAACATGAGGACAGACTTAAAATAACTATTATGCCTCACAAAAAAAGACCTACCTACCCACTAAAAAAATCATGGGTCGGGGACAGCAAACATAGAATTTTTAAGGATGGCCTTACATGTTATGTTTCATGTTCGGTTGACTTACCCGAGTTGAACTCTGTTGACCTGGGTACACTTAATAGAGTGTTCAGCTGGCCTGGGGAAACACTAGCTGGTCACCTGATATCACATTTTCCTTACCTGGGGGAAAGGCCAAGTAACCCACATAACAAGAGGGTTACTTATGTGTTGTGCCTCTGGACTATGTGCAGAGTGGACAATATGGTGGTACTGGAACAGATGAATATCGTTAGGATGTTGCATAATCATTATTGTCAGTTGATGCAGAATTTGTTATTATTTCCAGTATTGGCATATCAGTGCTCCCACTGTGCCAAGAAGTTTGCTTCGGAAAGATTGCTAAAGGACCACATGCGCTATCACGGTATCAGAAGTTTATGTGATTTCTCATAATTGTGTGGTAATCTTATTGGGTATAATACCATTGCAAGAATATTCAAAGATAGTATCAACATGAGAAACTGCTCCTGTGATGGATCGCGGTAACCTTCTAAAGCGCTGATTTCTTATGTTTTTCCGCCGACTGTTCTCTTATTTTCTTGGTCATTCTTGACAGCACACCAAGTATATGCAGTAAGGCTAACATGTCTTGGAACACTTGCACGTCATTATTTTCATCAATATACGTGCCTATTTGCCTTTAAAAGTAGACTTAATTGCATACGTCAACATCAATAGCACAGTTCTCAAATCTCACAAGATGTTATCAACTGGTTCCCCGTGTCTATACTTTGTTACCTTTGTGTACGCATCAAGATAAGGTACCAGTTTAATACAGTTTAAATCACAGAAGCAGATGCACTTGTATCTGTGGTGCAATTAACAAATTGCATTTTCGCATAGCTCAGGAATGCAAGTGCAAGTTTGCTGTTAATTTGCTGTTTTATAGCCTATATAACAGCACAATCCTGTGGAAAATTTTATGCTGTAGTAATCGGAAATATGTCCACTAATAGGTGACACCTAATTTGAGAGTTGTGTTTTATTTGAGAGGCACACACTAATTTCAATGAACTTTTATACATTGTCTTTGCAGTCAACCACTATAAGTGTCCATTTTGTGACATGACGTGCCCAGCTCCAACAACGTTGCGGTTACACATTAAATACAGGCATACTGATCACAAGCCATTTGCGTGCATCTACTGTGAACATTGGTAAGTTGTTCGCACCTCACAGAGTGCCGCTTAGCTACATAAATACATAGAGTCAGATGCGTTGCATTCTCACTAGTACCTTGTTATTTCATCAAGCTGCGTAAAGAAGTCTAGAGCATTTCAGTGGTTAACAGTTACACCAACTCTTTCATTAGCATGTGTTTCATTGCAATTTCTTTCCCAAAACTTGTCTTCCGTTAGCTGTAAGTCAAGTGCGGATCTACGACGACACATGGAAACGCACAATGAGGGAAACAACTACAGGTGTGATGTACAGGACTGCAACTACAGCTGCAGAAGTTTGCAGACACTGAATAATCACAATCGTGTAAAGCACGAGGTAAGATCAGCTAAACAACAGGCGTTACCGAATGCTTGAAACAAAAGCACACATTGTGCACGATTAAAGGTGGTGAATAACAGTAGAGGGTAGGGCGTCCATAGGCGGCAGGCCTGAATAAGCATCGAACAGAAATTAATTAAAAATACTCGCACTGTTACTTCGCTTACACAACATACACTTTATTCGTGTTAAATAACTACAGATTCATACTCTATGCTCCGCTCGAAACTTTTGCCAGCTCTATGATGCGAATTTCTGCAAAGTTGTCTGAACACATTTCAAACACAAAAATGACCAACCGGTCGCTGTGGCTATGCCACCTGACAGAATAACACAACTACACGACAAGACCAATTTTACTTCTAATGCTTTCTAGACGTCCACGAGGCATCTAACTTGCATGCATAATGCAAATTATTGCACTCTAGTGCCGAATTTTGGCGGGGGAAAAATGCCAAAAAAGGCCTTTTCTAGAGACGAAATAGTGCAACGGTGAACAATTTGCGGAGGGTTACTGTTGTATGCCACCTTAAGCAATGCTCATCCCAGTAGTGTCACATTGGTTGTAGTATTCAGTAGTGATTTAGTCCATTTCAGCTTTGTTGAATACACTATATCTAAAGCTATTTCGATAATTAATCCATTTACAATCTTTGGCGTAATGCTACATATGACGAAATCTATAAAAGCAGTTTTCTTGCATTATATATTTTAGGGGATTACCACTCCACGATACCTTTGTCACGTTTGTGATAAACTGTTTACTAGAGGACAAAAGCTCACTGTGCATCTCAAGTCGCAGCACAAATTCCGATGGCCACCAGGTCACTCCCGATTCAGGTATCAAATATGAAATGCTATTAATGATATTTAAAAGTAAATTTTGGGGGTCATTACAGGGATCAGTTGGTATGTCACACATTTGCATGTGGAGTTTGAAGCACAGAATATCATTCAGTAACTTGACTATCTTGTTCCAACCAGGTATCAGCTGCACACGGACGGATATTTGCGATTGCAGACTGTACGCTATGAAAGCGTTGAACTAACTCAGGAATTGATAGATGCCGATAACCAGCAAGGAAGTGATGCGTCATCGGAGGCCATGGAGGAACAGGCTGGTGAAGGAATGGAGGTAGGATAGTCTCAACTGTGCTAGCCGCATGAAAATTGCACTGAAGTGCCATCCGTATAACGTGTATAATAGTAGTAATTTCGTATGGCGTCAACATCACACCTCCACAGACCCACGGGCAATCCAGTTGCAACGGCGATCGCCACAATCATTTATGGTGACATATCCTCAATCTGTATAATGACAACTGCATAATTAATTTTGCATACACTTTTAGAATGAAAACGTTTCTCAAAGCGGGCAAGAAAGAGTTGAACTGGCCGAACAAAAAGACGGCAACATGCAACAAGAGTGCAGCTACGAATTGCCTTCTCCCGAAGCGAGTTCTCTGTGTCAGCCCATCATGGCGAACCTTCACCAAGTGGCCGTTTTACAAGGGCAAGGCATGTCAGCGAGTGATCAGCATTCGGCAGTGGCGGCGGATCCTACTTACGAAGCACCGCAGAACCCATGTCCTGTGAACATGCCTGTCTATTGTGACGAGGGTGAGATGGGAGCAGCAACGTGTGTGTACGTGCAGTCAGATCTGCCGACGGTTCAGGATTCCTGCCTGTACACGGAGACTCCCCTGGCAACCGATTCCATGATCACTCTGTCGTCCTTGAACAATTGCTTCCGCGAGGCAAATGAATCGGAGAAAGAAGCGGCCTACACACTTTTGACACTTCCACATAATGCTCTCTAGTGTGCAATGCTGTTTTTCTTTTGGCCTCATGAGAACCATGTTGCTATGCCAAACAGACTATACAATTTGTTGTATACTGGGTGAGAAACAATTAAAACTATTAAGAGATGTCGAATGACAGATAGCTTGACCAAAGGTAGTGTGTACACAGTGGTATGTACACATGGTAGTTTAATGCCATGTGATGTACGCAAAATTGCAACAATATCAGTTGTTTTCAGTAACGTGATAAAGCAATGGCTAATGCAGATCAGTCATAATACAACTGCTGGTATTTTGAATTGTAGGCGAGTAGCGTGAGACGTCAATGTCTTGCTGACCAATGAATGGTGCTGTAGACTCCACAAATACATTTTGTATTGTGTAAGGGGGGATTGTTGAAGAACTGGTTCTTATAATCCACAGGCTTTTTTCTACAACTGTGATTATTAAGTAAATAATCTAGGAATTTTTGTTGGATGCTTAGAAGCCATTTTGTTTATATTAAATGTGAATCGCCATAATTAACCGACTTATTTATGCAAGCAAAAGTAAAAGCAATGTTCACAAATTGTATGCCAAGCCAAAACAATGTGTTCTTTTTTATCTCAGAAAATGGTCCAATTTGGAATCACAGTTCATTTACTTGTATTGATAGTATTCTTGTCCAAAGCTTGTATATTAATGATAAAACTTGATAATGAATTTACACATAGATAATGTAAATTACTTTGATAATTGAGTTAAGTAATTGAGTTTTCTATTGTAATTTCCCAATAACGTGACCAGTGAATATTGAACGCTCGTGTATTTCTTTCACGCTGCAGGTACTTCCTTAACACTTGCATGGCATTTCCTTACTAGTTTTTTCATAGTAATGTGTGCTGTTGTGCAATCTGTGTTATAATTGTGTTACACTTATTATATATGTAATAAAGCTTGTAATCCATAACACTGTTATATATATTAGTCTACCAACCGAATGAACTTATTTAATGTATTAGCTTTGTGTTTATTAGGCATACTCATAGTATTTCAGTATTTCATCGCTATCAGTGGAGTTCTACTTGTTTGACATGAATTGCTAGAACATGATTTACTTCTTAGTAGTCACTAAGTAAAAACCAAGGCAAAATAGCGCTCATTTCGCGCACTGTGTGTATATATATATATATATATATATATATATGCAAGCCCACGAAAAATAGATATCCAACGGGTTTGTAGTGTCCAAGGTGCATCCAGCCAAATAAGAACTGTTCATAGTTTGTAATAACTAAAAGCCATATATACATTTCTATTAAAAGCATCTACAAGCTATTCTGATACAAATTAGTTTTTGCAATTTCCAAGTATTAGCAAGGTTTCTGTTGTAATACACCGCGTTGCACAATCATAAGCCTTATTACATATCGTCCCGCAATGTCACGGATAACAAGAGACGAGAAGAAGTGCTTTTTAATATCAGATTTTCAGTTTTAATATAATCGTGTATTATATATATATATATAGTTACAGGATCATCTAAAAAATGGTGTTGATCTACTAGGTGGTCAGGCAAATCTGTATGAATTACCTGCTTCATCACAACCTCAACCTACTACACAGCCTGTCCATGTAACATGTAGCCACAGCTTGATCGATGACATTATTTGTAAGTGTGAAGTTGCGTGAGACGTCAATAAACATGACGTATATATATACCTTCGACACCACTTCGAACTAAAGCATGAAACAAGTAGGAGTTTGGCTGTTGACTATCATACACAGATATTCCCAGATCTTCTATAGACCATTTAGATAGAAAGCAAGAACTTTTTTGAATACTTCTGGGTTATAGCCAACAACATTTCCATCTTTGGTGATGTCTGAGAACAACTCGTTGCCACCATCAAACCTGGAAGAATGCACAATCATTATAAACCACTGTCAAAAAGTATTGCCAACTTAGAACAGGTTAGACATTGGTAAACAAAATGGAAATGCAATGGCAAAATGCAACTTGGCACGAAGGGACAGTCATTCGGGCTGCGATCCAATCGAACAGCCGCAGGAGTAGTAGTTTAGTACATCATGAGTGTCACTTTGTGTATATTACTGTTGTTGATCATTTCATCGCAAGTCAATAGTTGCCCTGTAGTGTCTTCTACATGGTCTAGTATTAAATGACACAAGTTCTGTATAAACAGGATTAGCTTACCATGTGAAGTTCTTTACACCATCATGGCTACTGAAGTCCAGTGTATTCAACTGGAACGCTGTGAAGTAGAACACCTGACCGGTGTGGTTCACGCCAATATGCTGCACCGTGATTGGTTGAGGAAGCTGCTTGACATCTGCCTGTGTTATACATGCAACAGATTTAAACTACAAACAGATTTTCCTAAACTACTGACTAGTACGCAGTCCGGAAAAGCACATACGTGTAAAACAGCCTATATACGAACAATACGCAATATATACATTACATCCTGTAACCAAAACAGTGATTTAAAGACAATCCATATCTCATACGTACCCCATACATTCTATGAGCTTCAATTATACAGTGAGCCATGCAGTGCATCATTGCCTTTGAATTCAGCTGGCTGTCTATGTAAGTGTAATGTGGGTTTCTTGTGAGAAGGGTATGCGGGTGGGAGTCAGTCCTTCCAGCTAAACCTGCCCGTGAGAAATTAAACAGTGGAAAATGCATAGATTCTACTGATATCGAAAGAGTTTATGTTAAAATTCCTTAAAAGTTTCAGTGTTCCTACAAAGAGTGCATTTTCCTTGACTTGAAACAGTGATGACGCCAAACATAATATTGAAGACAATGCCATTAAGAAATTGCCATTAAGACTGTAAGAAATGTCTGTTTCTGGTTCGTGTAAATTATAAATGTCAAGCAACATCACTAGTGCACAGTACTTACACTCATCTACCAGTTACTATTGATGATCTGCTAACACCTATATTGTGCATACTACTGTGGTTACTGCTGCTGCTGCTGCCACCACTGCCTCTATTACAAGCACGTCTACCATTACAACAAAAATGATGCCAACGATGCCACCTCCACTGCCACCATTTCTACCACTACCCTCTACTAGCTTAGAACAAGTTCAGAAAAGCAGAATTAGTTAAAATGTACCCATGATGTCTTTTGCTGCCGGTCTAATACAAGAGTGCTAGTCGTGCTACACATGCACAGTGTCCTTACTGATTGACCTATATAATGTATTTGTGATTACCTATTTGTTCTTCAGCAGTATAAATGTTTTCCTTTGAAAGATCAATAGTCTGCTTAAGGGGAAAGATGTCCGCTAGGTGATGGTTTTCACTTGCCGTGACCTCAGCATCAGTTGCAAAAGCTGGCAGGCATTTTTTGCTGGTAATATTAATGTGCACGGTTCCATTTATCAAGATGAGGTCTCCCACTACAATGAAAAAGATATCACGAACGATTGTATGGTTATCCACGACAAAATAGAGCATGAGAAAATTTACAATATAAAAACTAACAATAATATTTGAAATTATATCCATAATGTAGAAAATAACAGGTGCCAGACCGATTATAACAGCAGTACATGTTATTTAGTAATATATTCAGCCTAATATCCCTTGAACTTCTACATAAACCATGTAAAGAGAACAGTAAACATTAACATCAACGGAGGTAAAATTCAAGTATTATATGAGGACATTCATTTTTACTTTACATTTTCCTTGTTTATGAATTTGGAAAAAAAATCATATGCGGTCTGCTTTCACACAAATGTTAACTAGCACAGAAGCGTTGGTACAAGGAAAGGTAAACAAGTAATAGCAGAGTATGACTAACTGTTTTCCATAGGACAGCTGAAATATGAGTTGTGGATGTGTTGTCTTTGCTGTAGAAACTCGGGGTATTGGCCAGCCAGAGTACTCGCAAGTCGTGCCAGATTGTGAATGATGACATGACTACAAAAAGATGAAGATTAATGAAATGTCAACTTGGCACACAGAGTACACACTGAAACAAAATTCACATTAAAAACATTCAGCTGTTTTTGACTTATTGTTACATCTTATCTAACTGTGTGACAGCACACAGTTAGCTGTCGAATACTATTTAAGCTTTCAGAAATGAAACAAAATCACACGTGAAAACCTTTTAAATGTAAAATAATTGACATACAAGTATGGAAACGTTG